ATTTCCATAGCACTGTTTTACTCCCCAGAAAAGTCCATGGATAGTGCCTGGTGCTCAGTGCTTTCATTGTGTTGTCATTACGTCTAAATGCACATTTTGAAGCTAATACTGTGCAGATTTTCATCTGTTGGCTAGTGTAATTTATACAAACCCTTTAAAAAGCTGTATGAAATAAGTGATTAAAAACATGTTTATTGTTTTTATGGAACCCCACTTCTCATTCAGAGACCTTTTTCTGTTATTAGGCAACTATTTTTAAGGCATTTGCTGAATTGTTCCAAGTCGCTTCAGCTAAACCTGCACCTCTTGGCATCTGTGATTATCCATCATCAAGAGCGATATATGCCATTGACTTGATGCTTAAATGGGATACCAGCAGAGATGGTGAGGAGCTAAATTCTTTGAGTGTTGAATTCTCCATATTTGTGGACCTTTTCAGAAATTTATTTCTTCTGTCTGAACTCTTACTGTTTTTCAAGCAGTGTGAGGTGCACGCTCTATGCCTCCCACTGACATCAAAGCATATCTGGAGTTGCTGATCTGTGGGGTTAGGATCTGCCATGCTGGTTAACAGTAACGATGGGGGAGCTGTTAACTGTGCTTGGCTGAGTCCTTGCTTCCCTTGTGCCCCTGCTACTGCCATTCTCTTAAAAAAACAAAAACAAAAACAAAAACAAAAACCCCACACACAAACAAAAAAACCCAAACAAAAACCACACACACAAAAAAACAACTGTACACTAATCACTCTGACAGCAGCAAGGTTTCGTTCCAATTTATGGTGAGAGAATGTCTGAAATACCTGTCTCTTTATGAAAACCTTAAGAGTCATCTTACTATGTGTGGCTTCTAGGCTTGGCCCAGTGTCTTAATACACAGTTACATATTAAAGCAGGGAAGGGACCACATGCACCATTTCAGTGCTATTGATGTCCTCAGGACCGTCACTCAGTTGTTGCCAAGTCTGCATGTATGTGAAGCTGCTTCATGTGACTAGCAGCATGGCTAATGACTACTTGGAGCCTTTCTTCCAGCCAGTTTGTGGAGGACTGGTAGCAAAATTTGCCAAACAGAATGAATTCTTTATTATCTCCCCAGGAGGCTCAAAAATGTTCTGTAAGCATGCACAACCTAGACACATGTCTCTTCTAGGTAGAAAAGCAGCAGAGGCACCAACACAAAAAAGACTGCTGGGGGAGTATTAAACATAACTCAGTGTACTCTTGTCTTGTGACATTGTGGTCCCCGGGACACAGGAAAGATTCACTGCTAGTGCCCAGGTTTGCTGGAGGAGTGATTAGATGCTGTATGTTGGGTGGGTGCTTCTAGCCCAGTCCTGCAGTGGCTGATCTGTAAATATTGAATCATTTTCATGGGGTGAGATGCTTGAGCAACAGGAGGTGCACAATTGAACCTTTCCTGTTCAGATCAGGTGGAGCAAGGGGACATGAATACGTCCATGTTGAATGCTCTTTCAGCTGTCCCAGAGTTGTCTTGAATGGGAGAAGCAAAGCAACTCACTGTTATTACTAGCTCAAGCAAAACTACTGTAGTGAAAGGACCAACCTCACATTACAGCCCCAGCTGAACTGCATAGGTCCCTAGCCTTTTGAAGATGTGGGTGTGAAAGTCATGGCTGCAATGCTGTAGGCAGCCTGTGGACAAATGGTTTAGTTGCTTCTGTGCAGAGCAGAGATGATGCCTATGCATCAGAAGCTTGTACCCTCACTTACGATCTCAACATCAGGTAGGCAATAAAATCCTTTTGTTTCTCTTTACACAGAATATATTTGATTCTGAACTGTACTGATGAAGTTTTAAGAGAAAATTAAACTTCCTGACTTCCTTCTAGGAGTGAGGTGAAGTGGCAGGTGGGAGTGGCTGGAGCGTAAAGAAACGGGACTGCTAGAACTAGAAAGGTAGATACCCAAGAGCTTTAAGAACGGAAGGTTTGTACCAAAACATGAAAGGAGAAGCAGAGTTTTCTGGAAGATGTTTCAGACTCTCAAGCAAGACAGCTATATCAGGGAGATCCTATTAAATTGCTGCAAGTTCTCATTCTAAATGAAGCATTGGATTAGCACAGTGATTGCAGAACCTGTTGGATAATCATCCTCTGGATAATGATGATAGTACAGACCTCTGTCCCTCCAAAAAAAACCCCCAAACCCACTGAAATAAAAGCATCCTACCAGCTTGCCAGCTTGGGTCATAAAAGATAGCTTTTTCCAGTCATTTTCTATGATCTCTGGTTTAAAGACAGGTAGTGATTCAGGATCTCTGTAGAGCTTATATTAAGAAGCAATGTTTGTGTTCCGCTTTACAGGGAAAAGAATTATGCAGCCTCAGATCCTGGAGGTGAACTTTAATCCTGATTGTGATAGAGCCTGCAAATACCACCCTACCTTTTTTAATGATGTCTTCAGTACCCTATTTCTGGATGAAACAGACAGCTGCCATGTGACATGCATTGTCTAGCCACAGGAGGCTTGACTATTGATTTCCTTCCCAGATATGCTTAACAGCAAGATTTATATTTCAGTTCTATGAGCTGCTGATGCAACTATTTTCCTATACTGGTAACCCAGAAAAAAAATCCGTATCAGAAGAGTATGCATATACCATATACTGTGTTGATAATAATTTTGTCTGCATTTTCCTTGTCTTGCTTAGTTCTATAAATCATCAGTTTGTGTTGACCAAATGTCTTGTTTATTGAATATGGGAGACCTCAAAATAGGACAGTAACTGGAGCAATTTACTTGTTTTGCAGGTAGCCTGCTTGCTTGCTTGCTGGGAAACATTGCACAGGTTCCCCATGTCAACATTAAAACTATAATTTACTGAAAAATGTTGGAGTTTGTATATCTCTTTCTTCTCCCTATGTTATTTAAAGACCTAAAATGTTCTGGTGGGAAAATAATACGGCACTTCAGTGCCATGAATACTAGGGTAGTGAGTTTCAAGATTTGATGGCTTTTCCCATTTTTCTTACTTAGAAAAGACAAACATAAAATACAACCCTGTACTGTTGGCTGTCATCCTTAGCCTGCCCCTTAAAGAAACTAGATTTTTTGAGAAGGTGTCATGTAGAAAGTGAGAAGGATGCGATGTCTAGAGTAGCACAGGAAAGCAGAAGAAGCCTGAAGGAATGGAAGGGATCTGGGAAACTCTGCTAGAAGCCCAAGCAGTCTTTGGACTTCTAAGTTTAGGGCCTCAGATAGAGGTATTTGAGAGTGGGGTGTCAGTTTGAAATAAATCATTCCTAATCTCTCCTCCCCCCTCACATCAGGGTCACTGGCTGAAATTTAGCAATTTTAGGCTGTATTTATGTTGCTTTGTATGTATGTACAAGTTGCAAAAATTCTGCTGTCCATCATGAAGCATGTATTATGTGGGTAGTGGTTTTTTTAAGCTAGTTGCAGCAATCAAGATCTGCTTGAGAGCCAAGTACGGTTATAAAATTGTATAAATGTTCTAAACTTTGCTTCAAGCTTTGCAAATACACAACTTGTTATCCCTCATGATCAGGGAGGGAGAGGGATATGTTAGGCTATTTCAGGCTCGTCTGCAGAAACCTACTTCTTTCCATTGACTGGAACATAGGCTGGAGAAATAAACCATCTGTGTCTTATGAAAATTCAGTCACTGCACAGGCGGGGCAGAAGGGAGAGCTGGATTGCACAGCCAGAAGTGGTGCCGATAGCTGTATTGGTCTCCTGCTCATGAGTCAGAACTTTTTAGGACTCCTTACTTAGATGTGATCGAAGAAACATAGTGAAGTGCTTAACATAGATGGTGTGACTACTTCCGATGCTGGGAAAAAGTTTGTCTGTGATACAGAATATAGTAACGAGTGCTTGAGACTGACCGTAAGGGGACGTGCAGTGCTGCTCAGCAGATGTATTTTGTCACTTGTAGGAGAGCAAAAGGCACTTTCTGCCTTCAAAGTACCTGAAAACATGTAACAAAGTACTGTGGATCTAGAGTAAAGGGGAAGCTTTCCCTCATCACAAAGGGAAAAGTGATGTCACACTTAGCAAACCAGAAGAATTACTTTAAAAAAGGGGTAAGATTTGTGCAGTGGGACCACAAGATGTGGGCAAAAATAGGCTGTTAGTGTGCTCTAGAGAAAAAGAGATGTTTTTATCTTATAGGAAGCAACTGGCTGAACTAAGCATACCAGATCTTACTATGTCAGCTACCATAACCTTGAAGAGGAGAAACCCTTTTTCCTGTTTCTGAGCTAAAGTGAGAAGGTGCAGGTAGGAGACACTAGTAGCTACGGTGTATGTTCTGCCCTTCTGGGCAACAGACCCACCCGGGGCCTAGCTGCTGGCTCCACTGTCAAAGTCTAGTGGTTAACTGGCATCATGCTGAGGGTCCAGGTGGTGTATGTTAGTGCTGTTTGGCCAGTGCAGCTGGTCATGCCTCAGAGGTGTGTGCAGGGAGGCTGATGAATATTTGGGTCCTCTCAGCTTCTGTCCAGGTGCTCTGAATTTCCTGTTTTGTCTTGGCTATTGCAGTGGTGAGAAGAGATGAAGGGGCTGTATTTGAGGCTATTATCATCCTGTTGCCTTCAGTATTTTTCTCCTCGAAACCATTTAAACCCAATAAAAACAGAGGAACAAGGTTAGTAAGTTTACATGTAGTTTAATGCATTTAGCTGACACTAGATTGTACAGTCCTTCAAAGTGCGAAGGCACAAATTGTGAAAAAACTCTCGTCTTAAACGTTTCCAGAGTACAATGACCAGAAGATAAATCTCTGGCAGCTGTAGTGAGACACATCATAGCGCTAAAGCACTGTGTCTAGTGGTAAACATGAAAGATTCAGGCCATAATCATGCCTGTCACTGTTCAGAGCAGCTTTCTGGAAGCTGTCTATATGGCTGGATTTCTTCCTCTGAACATAATGAAGTCAGAGTTCATGCTTATTCCTAGTAATAGTTAAAATGCTGTTGTCATATAAAATATAATGCTGTAATTTAGAAAACTAGTACTTTTCAATCAGCACTATCTTTTAGTTTGCTATAAAACCCAGTCAGGCGTACACCCCTTTGTGACTTGCCTAGTAAAGGCGTATTTGTTTTAAACAAGTACTGCTTTGTCAACTTGTAATTAGCAAACTAATGGTATAAGTACTTCAGCTAAAATTAAAATAAGGCCATAACTTTATTTAGAAAATTCTTGTGAAAAAAAAAAATCTTTTTGGCTGAAAACTGTTTATTCAGATTATTTCTTGTTGTGATTGTCCTTCCAGATACGGTAATTGAGTGCAGAAGCCATGGTTAGCCAGGCTAAATAAGGAACCATCAAATAAGCTGCTGTTTTGTTGACATTATACCAGGAAGCAGTTGTAGCTGTTGCTGTACCAGTTGTGAGCAGGAGAGTCACCAACCCCTGAAACACAGGAAGGTGGTTAGTGTTGGTTTTACTTGTTGCATTTTCTTGACTAGATGGTCTTTCTTGACTAGAGCTACTTAGCTCTGGCACTTGTTGGATCCCTCTGTGAGTTAATTCCTTCTCAAAAAAAAGCCAGCAAAAAAAGATAGATTTCTGCTGAGTTTTGAGTCAATTCAACTCATAAAATGATACAACAGTCACAAGAAAGGGAATTGCAGCTGGGAGCAGGAGAGGGAGAATAAAATCCCTCTCGCCCATACCCTCTTTTTTTGGCAGCGGGAAGTGTTACATTGACTACAAACCCAGTGTGACTTTGAGCAAGTCACTTAGCTAAGTAAACTTATCCACTCTTTTCGTGTCATAGATGCTGCATGAAGAGGTGTGGTGTGAATGAATCAATGATGGATTGCAAATTCTTCCACTATTACAGCATTTCATGTATATTTAGAGATCCAGGCAAATATTTTTTATTATTGATTTTTATTTTGGAGGCAAGCTGTTTCTTTTCAGAGTGCAGAAAATTAGTCTTGTCTAAAACAGATGCTGATTACCTGAGTAATGTTGTGATAAGCTTCTTAGCACTGCTGTTTGTCAGAGAGACACCTAGGAATTTTAGTAAGGCATAAATGTTTACATTTTCTAGTCACACAAAGCTCTTATCAAAGGGTGGCAGAAGGACCTTCTTGAAATCTAAACATTTAAGGATGTTGTAGATATGTAAATTCTCTCAGGTAGCTTCTGGCATGCATTAAAGAATTTTAGAAAACTTCTGCAAGCCATATTCTGTACTCATAATCTTTTCTCCCTGAAAATGAGCCTAACATACAACTTTTGTCTTGGCACCTTGCAAATGACAGCAGAAGCCTATGGTTAAGAAACTTACTTTTCTACTTACCCATCCCATTTTGTGAGCTCCAAAAAATACTGGAGTCCATGCCCAGTTTAATGCCAGCTGCCCTGCATACAGACCCAGAGGAACCACTGACTTTTCGTTGAAGCCCCCCAACTCCTTCCACACCAGGTAGGAGCCATATCTGGAGAAAGCAAATGGAAGGTATAATTCAGTACTTTGGTTAGAAAGCAACCACACATTCTCACTCAAATGCAGTAACTTCAGTGCTAGGGTCTAGAATTCATTTGGAAAAGTAGATATCCAGACACTACTTGGCAGAGTAACTGAGAGCGCAAGGTTGATTGATTGCTGCGGATAGCAATATTGAGAGAGAAAAATTCCCTATCCTGCCAGATTTCTCACTTCTAGGTGCAGAGAAGCATATGGCCCACTGCATTTCGGTCTTAAAAGAGAATGCCATGTTGAAATGGAAGCAAGGTTAAGATGCAAAGAATAAAAGGTAACACTCTAAATAGTGAAGAAACTGTTAATTTTGGTACTGGGAGATGGTGACTTTAAAAAAAAAATTAAAAAAATAAACAAAACCTTTTAATGTGGATGAAATATAGGAGAAGTAGGAATTGAGGTGGGAATGGACAAAACAAATGGCACCCCAAAGCACAGGTGAGTATGGGTATGGATGGTGTTAGAGCAGGAGCAACCTTATAGTCACATTTCAGAAGGGAGGAGTGGATGGGACAAAGATGGAGAGAACAAAGATTTTAGGACTTCTGTGGGAAGAGTTAGCCACAAGAAGCATCCAGTACACCATTCTTGTCTGTGGGATCCTGGCTATTGAAAGATCTTCCAAAAATATTTTGAAGATTTTGAACAGATCTTCTTAATACCATGGAAAAACAGTTCATTTGAGGGATCCCAGAATGTAAGTTGCTAAAGACAGGAATTCTCAGGATCTGTGAACTTTACTAATGTAAAGTTTATTTTTACACTGAAGGACCCTGACTAGAAGAGTCCTAGAAGACCCTGACCATTCATCACCTAAGACTATTTCTTTTGCTCTTGTTTGACTTTCCCTTTAGACATTAGCTAGATTTCAATCCAGATGCCTGCACAGCCATTTCAAGTGACTACAGTAGAATCCCCTGGATAAAATGCCAACATTTGGAATTACATCTTTGTTTCAGAATTAGTAACTGAATACTGATTCCATCCTGATAGGAATGTGAACTGGACTGTGCACTATGCTGGACAGCAGAGGGCTCATATGTATTTCTGCTTGGCAGTGGAGCAAAGATGGGGACCAGCTTGTAAGCATTACTCTTTTTAGGAGCAGACAAACGTCCATAGGAGTAATTGCAAGGAGTTTGTCTTCATTGTAGGTCATACAAGAAGATTTTTTTTTTACAGTTTAACTCAGTTGGTGACCCAAGCTTGCTTGCTTGCTTATTACTTTCATAGGGACTGAACAATGCATTTCGGTATCTTGGCAGTTTGACTGCAGACAGTATTTAAGAAAAGGAAGAGGTGGGTGGGGTAAGCACTAGAAACTCAACAGTTTATCTTCGTAAAAGGCATCAGGACCCAAATCTGTTCCTAAGTGATTTACAGAGCCACACTGTGGACTTAGAGTTGTTCATGCATCTAACTTTGACTTCAGATCAAGATCTTGATGTACATACCTGCTAGGAAGCTAAATGTCAAGAAAGGCGTGTAAGCTTATTAAGTCTTGCTTTTAGTTATTTCTTGCTTCTAAAATATTCAAGAGATTCTAAAGGAATGAGATGTTTTGATCATTCAAGGAATGTGTGCATGATGGATTACAGAAAAAAAGGCCTGGTAATAAATATGATATTTTCACTGAGCTAGATGTATAGTAGATAACTGGGACCATCCACCTCAGAATATACTGATTCTGATATTATCAAAGTAAGTGACAAGCTGTCACAATTTGAATTTTTAAAATATTTAACTTGATATCCAGGTTTATGATGAGGAATCCAGAAACAGGGTCACAAATTGTGCAGTCAACTTGAAGGAAGCTCTTCACAACAAAGCAACTCAGCTCTGACCTCTTTGATAAAAGGCATTTTTTTTTTTTTATTCACAGGATAGGATAGTAGTGATCTGATTCAAATGCTAACTCTTGGAATATACAAGAGTAGAGAGCAGTTTTTAAAAGTACACTCTAAGAGGAGAAAGGAAGGAGAATACTGACGGGAAAGGAGGGGCTATAAAAATTACAAAGCTTTTCTGGAAAGAAACTGAAACCAAAATGACAGAATGTGTTAGTGCCAATTTAGCATTCAGATACAGTTTCAGACATTGCATCATTGCTGTATTTTGCAAGAGGTGGTGTGGTATTGAAGCTAACCTGCAGGATAACTGATGTTAACTTGGAAAAGCTTTGGTCTCTCTGAAACTTTCTATAGTTAAGCCAGTGCTATATACAAACTACAAATCACTTAAAATGTACTGTGATGATGGAAGAAATGGGAAGCGTAAGCCATAAAAGGCATATTGCAGCCTAAAAACTATTACTATTGTATTAGCAACAATGTGTATTTGATAGCTAGGGAAAAACATGCTGAATCTTGGTACGTAGCTAGTTCTTGATGACCAGGTGCGGAAGAGAGACAAAGCTTCACTCTGTTCTTGGGAGTTGCACTGACCACTGTTGAGGCTCTAGGAGCAGTGCTACCACTCCTCTGTGGCACAGCTCACCAGAGTTAACATAAAAGCACATAATGTTGGGTGAAGAGCTTCTAGAGCAGTCTGTGAGGAGTATCAAAACTGTCCAATCTCCTGAGGCAACCTGCCTCTATAAATATATTTTGCTATATCTTGTTAAAAGTAATAGCTGCCAAAATACAGTATTATTAAACTTTTAAGGTTCCTACAGGAGTGGTATTTGGCCTTGTGATTCTGTGTTCATTTGACAGTAATTGCTGTGCTGTCAAGTATTTAAAACTAGTTAAATAAGAAGGTAGTAGATAGTTTCAAACATTTACAGTTTAACAGCCTGGCAGTTTTATTTGAAAGGACATGTGTGTTTTGATTTTGGTCTCTTTTAATTAAGCTCTGTTAGAACTGTTCTAATCTTAATTCTCCCCCCTGCCCCCCTCCCACCTTTTTTTTTTTTATTTTCCTAAACCTACTGAAGGATGTATATAGAGGAAATCCCAGCACTGCCTTGCTCCATCGCTGCCAGCTTGGCAGGTCTTCCCCTCAGAATGAATGAAGAAAGCAAATTAATGGCAGCTTTTCAAACTCCTGCTTTTGATGTGGATACTTGTGCATACAAAATGTCCTATCAAACCCACACACAACTCCCAAAACATGTTTTTACCTGTTAAACGGGCAGCTTGACACAGTTTCTTACAAACACAGCCACAGGAATACAATAATAGTTCTTTGGCCCAGCATTATACAATGAGCAACTTTGAGAGCAGATAAATGCCTTAGCACAATGTGAAAAACATACCCCATAGTTGTATAGAGAGTTCCCCAAACAGGAGCAAACACCCAGTTAGGTGGACACCAGGATGGCTTCTGTAGAGACTCATACCACACTGGGATTTCCTTTTTGGTTATCTTGCTTCCTAAAAGTCCTCCTGCATGGGGTAGGACTGTGAAACCCACTGCTGGGGCCCAGGCTGGTACCACTTCCATTGAGACAGTGAATCTGAAACAAACCCAAACATGTTGATTGGCAGAGCAATTTTAAAATGCAGCTACAATTTTTTTTCCATTTTTAGCCAATTTTAAAAATATCCACATGTGTAGGATGTGATCCACAGCCTAGTCTTGTCACTGAGAAAGACTGCAGCTGAAATTAGTGGCTTTTGTACCAGGTTCACTGGACAATAGTCACACCCATAAAGGAACCTATCAGTTACATGGCAGGGGGGAACTGAGGCCTTTATTTCCCCCTCAGCTTTGTGCACTAAGATTACTGAATTTTACTTACATAAATATCCTCACCCATAAGTATGCTAGAGAAAGAAAGCAGTTGGATATTACATGAACTGCACTTGGGGAAAAAAAAATACACTAAGAAATGTTTATCTCTGTATTCACCAAAAAGCCCATTCACTCAATGAAATTTTATAGTCAAGAGTAAGAAAAGAGTGTGTACTTTCCTGTGCTCAAGCAAAATAATTGTATATGTTGTGTTGCATTTTTAGCCTCAAAAGGGGAATGAGGATGCTCAGTGGCTCATAAGAATGATGTGAATTAGTAGCAGACACTTGAGAAGCTGCCTTGGAAAATAAACACCAGGGAGGACAATAAGAAGATAAGTACTTAAATGATGTTTTCCTAAACAAGGAAGAAGATCTCTGGATAAATGGGGAGTACACCTGTGGCTTCTTCATGAAGCATTCAATCAGTTGCAGCAATCTTAGCTGCTAAGCCCATAAAGTGTACTGGATTAAATTTGCCTATAGAAGTAAGACTAAGTAATGCCTTGTTCTGGTAGGCTGTGCAGCTTTAGTTAGAGTGCAGACAGTAGTAAAAAAAGTAAGCAGGAAAATGCTTCCTTGCAGATCTTCTGGCCAAAAGCCAAATGCTACAGAAGAGCTGTGTTTAGCTGCTAAAATGTAAACAGATGAGAGATGATAACAAAGGGCAGAACCAAAACGCATTATTTTTTTCAAATATACAGTAGGCAAATACACCCAATTCCTGTTCATCTGTTATGCAGGAGCGGGAGACAGTAGGAAGGAATCATAAGAGAGATTGCAGCAGCAGGGACAGAGCAACTGCGGAAGCCTGGGGAGAGAACATAAAGTTTTAGAGCAACCAGCATTTCAGAGGCTTTTCAAAGAAAAAAGTGCCTTATTGTTGTCTTGGCCCATGTTTAAAAGTTTTTATTGCTATAGTTATGACTATGCTGGGATGAAGAGGCAGGGAGTGGAGAAGAGGAAATCCCACTTGTAACAGATGTGCTGAAACTGGTAGGAAATGGCGCACAGATGACGTTGCATTGTCGCAGTTCTGCTGGTACAGGGGACTTCTGTTTGGAGAACAGGTATAAGCTTGTCCAGCAAGGGAGCTCTCTTGCATTACGGTTTTTGTCCCTGTACTCAGGGGTCTGCCCATACAGTTACGCAGATGTAACGAAGAGATTTCAGTGGCTGGGACCACAATCCAGATCGCATGGGATCAAGAAAAATCCTGGTGATAGAAGCCGAGCAGAATTTTGAAGCAAAACAGAGAGTGTGGAGGAACTGGTAAAGCATGCAGGATTAACAAGTGTGTAAGGAGTAAACAAGAAGGGGCATGTAGGCTGCTGGGCTGTGGGCGTGCCTTAGGGGAGAGTTATGGGAGGGCAATGAATAAACAGAACAAAAGAATGAATGAGTGAAAGAAAAACTAAGCAGGAAAGAATTCAGAACTAAGGTTGGGGAGAAGTGGGAGAACATCTGCTAGTCTCCTGGAATAGTATCGATTAGGTCTTGGGTGGAGGATGAACAAGGAAGGGAGGAAAAAATTGGCATAGCTCAATGCTGTATAGTCATTACTGCCATACTTCCTGCCTCATGGATTCTACTTGCTATTTACCAGGGAGTGTCTTAAATGGAGCAGAAGAGTTACTGTGTTCTCCTACACCTAGATCTGTATTGTTACTTTCCTCAGGGACCAGGCTGTCAGGCGCAGTATACGCTGCTTGTCACCCATACTGACAGCATGAAAGGCTCTGCTTTTACTGGGATATGAAGGAAGTGCTACATGCAGGAGCAACAAGGTGTAATGGGAACAAGAGCTCCAAGCACAATGATTCTCTTTGGTTTGCCAGATAAGTAATTCCCAAAGGTTAAGTTAAGTTAGAAATGTAAAGGTAGTAAGATCTCACGAATTCTTAACCCTGTCGCTCTTGCTTTGCCTACAGAGAGAACACTAGGCTTAGTTCTCTACACATGCTGTGAAGTACTGGTCATCTGTGCTGTGCAGCTCCACTGTGGCTGTCAAATGCTAATTATTTTTTTAAGTGATAAGCAAGGACCCAAAGGGGTTTATGCTTTATTTGGACATAACAATATCAGGGTGGTTTCCTGCATGTATTAAGCAACTGGACTTTGGCAGGGGTTCTGTCAACTTCCCCCAGGGAAGAAAATCTGAAAGTGTTCTGCAAGCTGAAAGTGCTAAACGCTATCAAATTGGAAAAATACTGCTCTGCTGCATTAGTGAATAAATGATGTAGCTACACATCTGTCCCTCTGGATGTTGGAGGAAGAACGCTGAAATAATTCTTAAGTGACAAGAGAAAGAAAATCAGGCAGGCAAACAGAAATGGGGAAGGCACAAAGCAAAGAAATAGGGAAAGTGAAGCTGTGCATGAGCAGGGAAGGGGAAGAAATAGAAGTGAAGAGATTGAACATACTGGCTTGAATTGAATGTTGGTATCCCAGGCTTTTTACTACTAATTATATACTATGTTTTCCAATAGTAGTTCTTCAGGCTTCCCACGCGTGGCAAAATACTCTCTTGCATAGTACCAAGGAGAGAGAGGAACGAAGCCATGCAGCAGTATCTGAATGTGCTGGTAGGCTAAGCCTAGTAGACAACAGCTACTAGGCTGTTCATCAGCAGTGGGAATTCCTGTATTTTAATTCTCAAGAATTAATCAATTTCCCATAAAAAGCAGTAGCTAACTCAGGGAGCAGCAGTAGCTAACTCAGGGAGCAGCAGTAGCTGATTTTGGAAGAAGCCATGTCCATCTTCCTCTGGAAGCAAAAGGCAAGGCTGCACTGGAGAGTCGGTACACTTGGTCAGTGCTGTAGCGTTTGTTTGGTTAGGTGTGCAGCACGAGACCCATACGATGTTTATAGAACGCCCTGTACATTTTTTAAAAGTAATGTAATCCCAAAGTATATAAAGGATTATCAGCCCTGACTTCCCTTTAGGGTATAGCTGATAATCCTAAAATTACATGGTGATAACATACACAGCACAGGCTTGCTAACACAGCCCCTCTGTATTACACAACCTAGAAATAATTACTACTTTCCCAATCATATCCCAGCTCCACTTCAGGGTCAGATCTGGTTGCACAATATTCTTGCATCCTGATTTTCATACCAAAGAAACCTGGATGTCTGTGGATGATACTTGCTGTGTGCCCAGTGGGTATCTGCCTCTAAGAACCACCAGTTGGAAATCTTTTCTTCCTGCACACACTTAATTTATTTCTGTTTCCACTTCTTATCTCTGCCCTGCAACATTTTCTTCATCATCCTGCCTGTTTTCTGTTTAGCCCTAGTGTGACTTCAGACAGTTTCAGCAGTGCAATGAGGGCTTCAGCAGCACAGTGAGGGCTGCAGCAGGCCAGATTTTTGGTTGTTTTGTTTTTTTACAAACATGTTAAAATAATTTTTCTAGGTATTCAAAACATCCAACTTGCCCAAAGCTGGTTCCAGCTACGTAAAGTAACAAGAGAAATAAAGCTGGGGGGAAAAAAAACAATACTGCAACTTGCTGCCTAAGCAGTGGGGCTTCTAGTAATAGCAAAGGGCTTCTGTCTTTTTGCAGGTTGTTCCTCTATGGTGGTGTAACATGCAGAAAAACAAACAGAAGCTTTCTGTGTCTTCCTCTTCCTGGAAAAAATACTGCGTGCCCAAAAAAAGGGATGGGGTGCACTATAGGTGGGACTAGATATATCGTGATATAGGAGCTTGTGTGCTTCAGCCTGATGGAAAGTGAACTAAAACTTCTTTGCTTTGAGCAGGTCTCTGAAAGGCAGGTGGGTTCCTTCCCCTTCTCTGGGCACGCCCAGAGAGAGCTCAGCCAGGGGGAGGGAGAAGGAAGGAAAGGACAACTCCTTTCATTGCGTTTTCTTACATCCCTGTGCTGATACACCTCTGATTAATCCCTTTGTTGTGCAACTTAGCACTGGCTACCCAATCACATGGGGCTTAAATTATAGCTATCACATTAAAAACACGAAGGAAAATCTCTCAGCAGGGCTAAATCACCCACGCGGTTCTGGGGTTTCTAGTCCCGTCTGTTTTGAGGTAGTCTGACAAAGCTGTGAAAATACTGCAGGTCAGGGGGGTCCCCCAAGACATATACCCTCCCTCTGATCCTCCACAGTATGTTTTTTTGAGGGCAGATAAGGTGCTACCCAGATCCATGAGGCAGCATGCAAATTTTCCCTGGGGAAAAGGCTTCTTCCCAAGATAGCTGTCTGAAGAATTAAGGGGTACTTACTTAATTTATACTGATAAACTATGTCTGCTGTGGCTTTAACTCTGCCAAACCGCAACACTAAAAACAAAGTTGTGTCACAGACTGTGACACAGGCTACAGCTACCACAAAAAAGCAGTCTTATCTTCGTTATCTAATCTCAAGTAATAGAGAAACTTAAAACTATATTATATAACATAAATGCAATGTAAGTGTCTAACAAGTAAGTGTATATAGTATGTTTATAATATGTATTTATAACTAAAAATAAAAATTACTGTATTTAAGGATGTAGGTGTACTTATTGGGTTTAGAGACAAGAAGTCTCACAGCCCAGGTTACACTTCTTTTAAAATGGCAGAGCACAAGTTGTGCAAATAAATCTATGATTTATTGAAGATTCACATACTATGAACTAAAACGCACGCTAGAACAAATCTTGCCAGGTGGTAAGTTGCCATTTACTGCTCAATCTCTTCTCATTTTCCCTATG